TTTCAGTAAGTTACATAAAATAAATATACATATTTCTACGGAAATGATTACAAATTGTAGACATGTTATTCGTCAGTTAACTTTAAAGATATTATGGTCGCTTCTGGGCGTGTAAATCCCGAAATATTGCAATCCCATCGACTTGACCAAGAATTTCTAATAGGATTTGAATTTTCAGGAAAAGATTTAAGGTCGTATTATTATTTAGTGTAAACGAGCAAAATTGCACGCTTTATTTACAGCGGTCGCAGAATAGCTGGAATGACTGACACTCAAGGTATTTCTTCTTATGTTACTTTCGATTCTTTAGTCTGGAAAATACCAGACTCGTGGACACTTGAAGATGCAGCAACGGTTCCTGTTGTCTATTCCACTGTTATTTACGCTCTTTTAATGGTACGTACATGAAAATAATTAGCCGCTCTAATAACTTGTTTTTAAGGTTGGCGATATGAAACCGAGTTCTTCAGTTCTAATTCACTCAGCCACTGGTGGTATTGGGCTAGCTGCCTTGAACATTTGTCTTCACTATAAATGCAAAATTTATGTAACCGTTGGCACTCAGGAGAAAAGAGCTTATTTAAGAGAAAATTATCCACAAATTCCAGACCATCATATTGGAAATTCACGAGACACCTCATTTGAGCAAATGATCAAAAGGGAAACCCGGAATAAAGGAGTTGACTTTATTTTGAACTCTCTAAGTGAAGATAAGCTGCAGGCTTCGGTTCGATGTTTAGGACGAGGGGGAAAATTTATGGAAATTGGGAAATACGATTTGGCAAATGACAGTTCTTTAAACCTATTGCTCATGGAGAAAGAAGCTAGTTATCAAGGAATATTTTTAGATGATGTTTTTAGAAATTTTGAGAAAAAGTCTAAAGTGGTAAACCGTTTAGTAGAGGGAATAGAAGCAGGTTGTGTAAAACCACTTCCCAGGATTGTGTTCAATGCAGATGAAGTTGAAAAATCGTACAGATACATGATGACTGGTACACACATTGGTAGAATACTGATTAAGCTACGGAATGAAGAAGAAGACAGTGTCCATTATTTCCAGAAAATTTCAAAACCACGGTAAGTTTTCATTGACATGTGGACATAGAAACATGTGGGCAAAATTCGAGATCAGTTTAAATTAATCACAAAGCAAAATGAAGGGATAAAATTCAAAACCTGGTTGAGGTAGCGGGCGAAGAAATTTGTGTATATTAAAAATAATACTATTCAAAAAATACTTATTGTGTCTAACATACGTAAAATGCTGTGTCTTCAACGGACCAACGAATAGTAGTACTTAGTAAATTGCAGAATAGATGAAACAAGAACCAGCGTTAGAAGAATACCTTTGAGGAGATCGAATTGTATGAGAAAGAGGTAGAGATAGGTCAGGAAGAAAATGTCAGGGATTAGAGAGAAGAAAAGAGCAAACTGGACAGGCAAGGTGAAAAACCACGTGTGTTTAAATGAAACGGATCTATATTTTTCCCGATTTTGGCCACATATTTTTGGTTTCGTTGTGGTTTCGACATATTTATTTATTTAGATCTTAAATTCGCTTTTTCATCCCCTGGGGTTTCTGGCTCTTCCATGGGGGCCTGCGCTTCCTGAATCGACACCTTGTTTTCCTTAAGTATTAGGTTTAAAGAGGACGGCATGTAGTTGATCTTGCCCTCTCTCTCCTTGATTGTTTTGGCCTCATCCATACCAAGACTAAACACAAAGAAGTGTCCCGGTATCGACAGGGTGGCCCTCACCAGCCTTGGTAGCTGAGCGAAGGGAATCACGTTAAGTTGTGCGCCTTCCCACAAGGGTGTTAGAGAGCGCACTGTTTGTTTCGGTCATTTAGATATCTCGTGTTTATAGGTTATCTTTAGGATTTCCTCTGTGTACTTGATGCCCCTGAAAGTGGCTGCTTGTCCTTAGGAGATTGCAACCCCACAGTGGCCGGGTTTTCAGCTTGACGTGCATCCGAATGCACTTCCTCAGTGGATTTAGTTGTTTTATTAACCATATCTTGGATTTTGATGTCGGTCTTCTGCGTGCCCACCCACCACGGAGTCCAACAAGGGGACGTCGAACTTCGACGTCAGGGCTAGCAGAAAGATATAGCTCCAGGGAAGCTCATCCTACAGTACGCAGCCTCAACAATTGAGACCACTCGTGCTCAGATTACGCTTCCCCCAGGAACTCACCCTGTCGGCGGTCTGACCCGATTCATCTGAAATGGGTTGGTCTCGACCTCCTGTTTTGGTGAAAATCCAGGCCAAAGAAGCATGTTGCTCAGCCTTGGTGAACTGCCTTCGCGGCCGTGTAAGCCGGCAATTACATGTCCAGGCCAGACGAGCCTCAGCCCTAACCTACAAATCTAGAGAAGGGTAAAACCCAGATCGGATTTCCACCACCCCCAGTAGTGTTTTGTTGTGGGGGGCCATGTCCGTCCTCTCCAAACTTCCATTTCCCAGACAATGCCGATACGCTCCCTTTGAGGGGACACTTCCTCTATCCGCAACTTGAGAACGCGCCTAGTAGGTAGCTCAACCCAAAGAAATACCCCTTACTTTGTTTCTGGTTCTTTTGATATCAAATTAAATGACGTCTTAATATAGAGTGCCATAACATGGATACTTACTTAACAATGATTTTTTTTCAAGTTTCTTCTGTGACGTGCGTTACACCTACGTGGTTATTGGAGGGCTAGGTGGTGTTGGTTTAGAATTAAGTGACTGGTTGGTTCTGAGAGGCGCAAGAAAACTAGTATTATCTTCCAGATCGGGTGTTCAAAATGGTTATCACCTGCAACGAATAAAGTAAAATCTGTATAATTTCTTCACGCAGTAAAGATATTAAGTAGCAATTTCAGCATTTGGACAACCTATGGGGTCGAAGTTAAAATTTCTACAAAAGACGTGTCCACTGAACGAGGATGCGAAGATTTAATTACAGAAGCGAATGAGCTTGGACCTGTTGATGCTATTTTTAACTTAGCTGTTGTTCTTAAAGATTCACTGTTTGAAAATCAAACTCACGAAAATTTCGAAGCTTCTTTCGCACCAAAAGCTCGCGTTACACTATATTTGGACCGAGTCACTAGGAAATTGTGTCCAAAACTAAGGTTTGCTTATAACGTTAAGGTACCGGTTGATTTTGATGATTTATTTCAGGTATTTTGTTGTATTTTCATCAGTATCCTGTGGTCGTGGGAACCCAGGTCAGAGCAACTATGGTATGGCAAACTCTGTTATGGAAAGGATATGTGAGAATCGAAAACGAGAAGGATTGCCAGCTGTGGCCATCCAATGGGGCGCAATCGGTGAAGTACTTAACAATTTTTGGAAATTTCTTAAATTTATAAAAATTTTCAAGGTTGGTTTGGTAGCAAAAATGCAAAAGGAGAATAAAGAATTAGTGATAGGTGGTACTCTTCAACAAAAGATTTCAAGCTGTCTTGAGGTGTTAGATGTTCTATTAAAACATAAGTATCCAGTTGTTTCTAGTATGGTAGTTGCTGAAAAACACCAAAAAAGTGACAGATTTAATGCAGTAGAAGCGGTTGCCCAGGTGTTGGGAATCAAAGACATGAGAACTATAAGTCAGTATGCGATATTCGCAGAACTCGGTATGGATTCGATGAGGGGTACAGAGATTGTTCAACTTTTAGAGAAAGATTTTGAAATCTATGTAACATCTAAAGATGTGAGAAACTTAACATTTGCAAAGTAACTATTTTGTCAGTCACAAAATGTTGTAATTTATTGGTGAATTTTAGACTGACTGAAATAGAGGCAGAGAAAACGGGTAAATCTGGAGAAGTTGTTAACCAAAAATTAAGCAAAAACTTTCTCATTCAATTTATTCCCGAGAGAGAAACTGTTCAGTTGCCTACTGTTAAATTGATTAGCCGAGTGGATTTACAAGGGGAAGCTCCAACTGTATTAGTGTTACCAGGAGTTGAAGGTGTCTTCAAACCACTACAATTTTTGACAAATTCATTAAACGCTTATGTAGTCGGAGTACAGTACAACTATAGCAAACCCGAGGACAATATTGAAGAAATTGCACAATAGATATTTACGATATGTGTATCGTAATGTGGATTTTTACGATACGCGGTGGAAAAATTGTCCAACGAGCCGAAGGCGAGTTGGATAATCCATCAAGGATCGTAAAGAAACATTACGATACAAATATTGTACAACGTTTTATCTACTTTCAATAATTTTCATAACAATTAACACATATATTTTTGTAATTTTTTAAATTGTGTTTATGGAGAAAAAATAAGGCGGCTAAATTAGTAACCGTAGTTACTGATTTGTTTACGTTTTTCACAAGCGTTCAGTGAAAGCAATTTATGTGCAAAAATTAGTGATTCAGAGGATAATTTGCCTTCCGATATTGAAGTGGCTACTCAATCTGCCATCGATACGTTAGTTCCTGGTAAATCTAAAGAACGTTACGAGATAGCGTACAAATACTTTGATGAATGAATGGAAGTTAAGAAAATTGGTGACGTTTCTGAATAAGGTCATGCATTCCTATTTTGCTGAACAAGCAGAGAAGTTAAAACCATCCTCCTTATGGTGCCGATATTCCATGTTGCGAACCTTGGTGTTGATTACGAAGAATGTTGATATTTCTGAATATCATCAGGTTGTGGCTTTCTTCTCGAAAATCAGAAGGTTCCCGACCCAGAAAATCGTTTATTTGTTCCAAAGAAGAGATAAATCAATTTCTCAAGAAAATGAATGATAAGGATTTCTTATTTATGAAGGCAAATTGCAACTCATATTGATAAAAAACAATCTCAAATTTATATAGTTTCAGGTTGTTTTGATAGTCGGAGTGTTTGGTACTTGTCGACACGAGGAGATCACAAATTTGACGACACGAGACGTTAGAGCCAAAAAAGAATTTATCAAGATCACCTTACTGAATTCAAAAACTAAAATTATGTAGAATTTGCTATAACGAGAGGAAATTTTCAGGGAATAATTAACATGTTGCTTGGTCATAGAGGCTGGAAGTCGGATAGCACGGCAGAAGGATATGTTGAAACATCTGTCGAAAATAAGAAAATAATTGCTACGAAAATAACGGGTTCTTCAGTTACTGTGGGTTCAACAAATTAGGTCACGGTGGAGAAGCCCAGCTTCAACATGGGAACAGCGTCTGGTGGTAATTTTATAAATATTTCAAACTGTGTAATTTATGTTAATAAATGGTTTTGAAACTTTCTTTTCTAAAAGTCACTCTTTACCGCACTAGTGCGGTAATTGTTCTTTTACCGCACTTAGTGCGGTAAAAACTACCATTACAATATCAAAGAAAAACCTGTAATCTGGCACATTACATAATGAAAGTAGATAAAATACACTACGGGTTCGCTAAGATGTATACATTTTAAAATTAATGTATTTAACATCTGTAATATTTTTAGCACATCGAAATTTATTTATCCAAAAAAATCCCCTTCTACATTATCGGATATTCTTTTGGAACTGTAGTCGGTTTAGAAATGATCAGTTTGCTAGAAGAGAAGGGGTACAATGGTATCATGATTTTGATCGACGGTTCACCAGCATATGTAACTTCTTCTTTAAAAACACAATTCGCGCACGAAACAGAAACCCAGTTCCAAACTGCGATTTTGACCAAAGTTTCTTCTTTTGTGATTTCGTTTGATGTATTTACGCAATATGAGGTAACTGGTAGTTGAACTATTTGCACTTATATACTGGAGTACGATGTGTTTGTTTAAGGAAGCGTTGCTGAAGTCCAAAGATTTTGACGAACGAATGGATTTGTTTCTCAGTGTGATACCTCCTGAAACAAGGAACAAACAAAAGTTAAAAAAGCAGGCAGGGGTTGCGGTGTACAACCGTCTTAAGGCTGCACTTAACTATACGTTTAAAAATAAGAAAATTAAATCGGCTGTACATCTGTTCAAGGCAAAATATCCCATGGTTGACGAAGAAGATGGTTATCAGTTATCAAAAGTGTGTGATAACATAGCACAAGTTATTACCATCGATGGCGACCACGTATCAATTTTAAATAACCCAAATCTTGTAAAAGCTGTTAGCAAAGTCGTACAGCTAAAATCATAACTTGAAATAAAATAGTGATCATCATTTCTTTATTTTCTTTCTTGTTTTTATATTGAGCTAACCCTGGTCCGTGATACTGCCCCCACTTGTCGTCATAATTTCAAACGTTGACGGTGAGTTGATAAATGTTTGAAAAATAATATTAATAATAATAAAATAAGGTAAAATAAAACACATCGTCAATAGACAAATAAAATGAAATACAAAAACAAATAAATGCTTACAGATACAATAAAAATGTATATAATATGTCAACAATAGAGATAGTGAATAAAATTATTAACACATTAAAATAGAGTTATGAAAAATGTTCAATTTATCTTTAAAATGCGGTACTCAAATTTTTACCTAATAGAATCTAGTATGAATGCCTTTTTAAGGGAAAATCTCAAAGTTCCATATTTTTTGTATTAATTTCAAACGCGTTTATTCTCCACCAAGCAACAAAGTCTCCTGATACAACATGAATGTAGACATCAAATTTGACAACAATCGGCTTGGTGGTTTCGAAGATTACCTGTCTAAAAAAAATCGACACAGACGACAGACGGCAGATGACATATAGACAGAGAGACAGACAGAAGCGGGAGACTTATGTTTTCATACTCCAGGGATCATGAAACGTAGAGAAAACATGAAAGTAGCAATTTGTCGGATGGATCCTATACTACAATACTTCCATAGCTTACGCTCGGATAGTGAAAATAAGACTACAACAGCTCACATAATAGCTGATGTAAAGTAAAGGCCAGAAGTGCAAGATAATTTCAAAATATTGGGCGGAAACGACAGTAACAAGGACTGCATATGCATTTTGAACTTATTTCGTTGAATAGAAAATCTAAATCAAAGACGCAATTTTTTTCGTTTATTAAAGGACATTGAACCGTGAAGTACTCAAATTATTTTGAAATAAAAAATCTAACTGGATGTTCTAACATAATTGAATTGCCTAGAAAGTTCATCTTACTGACAGTACAAAGCTAAAAAAGCCGTAATACATACTTTTATTAAATAATTTACATTTATATCCATAATTTTATTCTCGTCCATTTTTACTTTATACTATTTTTTCGTATTTCGGGACTCGTGGACATAATTTACATTTATACGGCTTTATTATTTATGTCTTTTATTGTTGGTAGAACTCAATACGTTGAATATATAGGTTTCAAATCTACCTTATATGAGTCATATATTGGAATAGCACGAGGATCCAATTTAGAGCCACTGATGTTCACTATCTTTCTAAATGATATTTTCGAATAATGCAAATAGCACAACTCAGACGTTAATTTGTAATTTTACTACACAGGTCGAGTACCTAAACATGCGTTCCTCGACATTTCATTAATTATTGAAAATGAAAAAAACTCAGCTCAAAGTTATACATGCGGTTCTTTGTATAGCATACAGAAAAATTATCTCGCAGTATACAGTGTTTGGTTTTTGAGGTGTAAGATTCAACATTTTGTTTTAATGGAACACTATATAGAGTGTTAATAAAATTGTGTTCATTATTACAATTTTCAAATATCGATTTTCCAGTTTTTTCAAATAGAGCACTATATATTATTACTACATCTTAATCTATTTTTGCTGTCTTTCTTTTTCGCTGAGTTCTTCTATATTTAAACTTGGTAGTGGCTGGAATGTTTTATTTTTTAAGAGTCACATCCTGATATGTCTTTACATATTTTTGTTGGTCTCTCCTTACTCCAACTAGAGCAGAAATTTAAAAAATCACCCGACATAATACAGATTGAATTTGCGAATGTTAAAATCAATGTCAAAAAAATACTAAATACACTCAGAAGTCACGTAATCGCTGATATTACAATTCAAAGGCCAGAAGTAAGTTCAAGGTTATCTAAACACATTGGACGGAAGCGATAATAATAAGAAATGACTGCATATACTTTTCAAACTTAGGTCATGCAGGAAATACTACTACTTCACAGAGTTTGAAGCGTTTTAACTTTTTTTTTAATAAAAAATCCAACTGAACGTCCAGAAGAAGTATTTAGCTTCGAGTAAAAAATATACTGTAAAGCTGTATGACCCGTAAAATTAAAAATTATCTCTATATTTGTCGACTTCTGTTTATTGTTACACGAATGGGGTTAAGATAAGTAATATTTTGCTGTTTAATCACACCGAAGGCTAGACAACCCGTTGGGAAGCTGTAGACTGCAGTTTGGATCTTGTTGGATCTCATCAGTACAGCCCATTCCATCGAGTTGTCTAGCATTCATTGCGACTGAGACTGATTTAGCTTTTGAGTAAAAAAAGTTTAGGAAATGAGGGGTAAGTTAACTATTTTTTTTTTGGTTATTGCTTAGACAGGTAACGTCAAATTTAAATGTTAATTATCCTCTTTTCATGAACTATTGTTTTGAATTGCTCGACCAACTAGAACTCATTAAAAATGTAAATTTTTTTTCGTCGTATTTCAATGTTAGAAAATTCGTGTCCATTTCCGCTTCAGAAGTTATAAGTACCTGCACATTTCGCATTCAACAAGATTGAAAATTTTTTGTCACAAATACATGTGTGTTTTTTGTGTCTGTTAACATTGTTGGGTGATCATGATGGACCTAAACGAAATTCAAGAAAAAGAATTATTCAACGCTAATTTTCAATATGGTCGCTGGTTGTCCTCTCCGCCAGCCGGCGAGGAAGTAGTCATATCTGGCATGTCCGGCCGATTTCCAGAATCTGACAATGTGTATGAGTTTCGTGACAATTTGTTTAACAAAATGGAGATGGTTACCGAAAATGAGAAAAGATGGAAAATCGATCATCCCAATGTGCCGAAACGAAGTGCTCACATTAATAATATTAACAAATTGGATGCGGGGTATTTCGGGCTACATTATCGTCAAGCTTATAATTTAGATCCTGCACTGAAAGTTTTGATGGAAACTGTCGTAGAAGCTATCATGGATGCTGGAGTAAATCCGCTGGAGCTGAAGGGAAGTAAAACTGGCGTATTTATTGGTTTTTCTTACTCAGATGTTGAGAATATTACTTTATTCGAGACAACGAAATCGAAAAATTTTGTCATTACCGGGTAAGAAAATTTTATTAACAAATATCAATTGCTTATTATCAAAGAAAAAGGTGGCCAAGATAATTTGTGTGTGCTCATTGTGTTCCTTGTAATGTATTTTAATTATCTATTTTAATTTTGAGTAAGTTTTTTCTGTCGAAGCCACTGGAAGAGGTACTGTGGGAGAGATATGACATTCTACAATAACGATTTTAATGAAATTAATCCGCGTAGGGACATTTTTCTTAACATACTCGTATATTTAGTTAATTCCATAATGAACGTTTTAATTTCTTAAAGGTGAGGAAAAGAAGTATAGTGGTGGAAATGCCCCAGGTAAATTTTTTTCTCTATCTACCTTATGCAGGTTGTGTAAGATGAAAAATTATCAAATTTTGAAATTTGTCATTAGAATCTTTGGTTCACTTAAATAAATGTGTGGGATTATCTAGAAAGAAGCCATGATATTGTGCACTTTAAGAAAAATAGAAAAACAGAATTGGCGGTCAAAATGTTAAAAATGTCTGAAAAATACAGGTTCAAGTGATACGGAGTACAAAGAGCCCTGTTAAAAATGCCCAATCAAATCCAATATAACCCAATCTAAGTTAGATTGGACCAGATTGTGTTTGATTGGGTTAATTGGGATTCAATTTGAACTTATATTGGATTTGATTGGGCAAACACAATTAAGGGCTTTGATTGGATTTGATTGGATTTGATTGTGAAAATTGGAAATAATTGTGTATTACCAATAAAAACATCTAAAAAGCAAAATGTGATGTAATAAATACAATTTAGGTTTGGAGTGTGCTAGAACGTGCAAATGGAACATTTTATTTTATTTTATCACTAACATTGATGTCCCTAATATAAATAATTTTGTTGCTTTCGTTTAGATTCCCAAAATGGCTTTGCGTTATCATTTACAATAAAATGCCGTAAAAGATAATTATTTATTATGGAAATAAAACGCTTATTGAAACGATTATAACGAAAAATACAATTATTTGAAAAAAGCACCCCCTTCACGAATAGAATAAGTTGTTAACATTTTATTACCCGAGAACAAGGCTCGAAAGAATTCTGAATCGATCACAAGAATATACATCTATATGCATATTCAAAAAAATTGCATAAATATGTTCTGCGTATTAGCAACCCCCATAGGGGGGTCGACGGGGAACGTAACCACCCACTTCGATGAGAAGTCGTAAAGAAACACATTACGCAACCATTTTGCATCCTACGGCAACGATACGGACCGTAGGTGCCTCAATTTCACGTTTAAACGACGGTCACAGTGTCGCCCAATCTGGCCCAATCAAATCCAATCCCAAATTGGGGGCGCACAATCAAACCCAATCTGCGAATAATTCGCACGCCAATCGCACAAAGAAGGTAAAAAATGACCACCACAATGGTCACGTGGTACGCAAGCAAACATATTATCACTATTATAGCGAAAAATAATTTGTTTTTAATAAACAACCCTTTTACGCGGGTTTGAGTGTTAATATTATCCGACAGGAGTATATTTTTGGGAAAAAATTCTGTGTTCGACACGATAGGATTTATGACGATAAGCATACTCAAAAAAAATGCATAAATATTGTCTGCGTATTAGCAACCCCCATAAGGGGGTCGACGGAGAACGTAACCACCCACTTCGATGAGAAGTCGTAAAGAAACACATTACGCAACCATTTTGCATCCTACGGCAACGATACGGACCGTAGGTGCCTCAATTTCACGTTTAAACGACGGTCACAGTGTCGCCCAATCTGGCCCAATCAAATCCAATCCCAAATTGGGGGCGCCCAATCAAATCCAATCTGCGAATAATTCGCACGTCAATCGCACAAAGAAGGTAAAAAATGACCATCACAATGGTCACGTGGTACGCAAGCAAACATATTATCACCATTATAGCGAACAATAAACCTTTTTTAAAAAACAACCCTTTTACGCGGGTTTAAGTGTTAATACTATCCGACCGGAGTACATTTTTCGGCAAAAATTCTGTGTTCGACACGATAACGTTTACATCGATAAGCATACCAAAAAATATGCATAAATATTGTCTGCGTATTAGCAACCCCCATAAGGGTGTCGACGGAGAACGTAACCACCCACTTCGATGAGAAGTCGTAAAGAAACACATTACGCAACCATTTTGCATCCTACGGCAACGATACGGACCGCACGTGCCTCAATATTACGTTTGAACGACGTTCACAGTGTCGCCCAATCTCGCCCAATCTGCGAATAATTCGCTCGCCAATCGCACAAAGCAGGTAAAAAATGACCACCACAATGGTCACGTGGTACGCAAGCAAACATATTATCACTATTATAGCGAAAAATAATTTGTTTTTAATAAACAACCCTTTTACGCGGGTTTAAGTGTTAATATTATCCGACAGGAGTATATTTTTGGGAAAAAATTCTGTGTTCGACACGATAGGATTTATGACGATAAGCATACTCAAAAAAAAATGCATAAATATTTTCCTGCGTATTAGCAACCCCCATAAGGAGGTCGACGGAGAACGTAACCACCCACTTCGATGAGAAGTCGTAAAGAAACACATTACGCAACCATTTTGCATCCTACGGCAACGATACGGACCGTAGGTGCCTCAATTTCACGTTTAAACGACGGTCACAGTGTCGCCCAATCTGGCCCAATCAAATCCAATCCCAAATTGGGGGCGCCCAATCAAATCCAATCTGCGAATAATTCGCACGCCAATCGCACAAAGAAGATAAAAAATGACCACCACAATGGTCACGTGGTGCGCAAGCAAACATATTATCACCATTATAGCGAACAATAAACCTTTTTTAAAAAACAACCCTTTTACGCGGGTTTAAGTGTTAATATTATCCGAGAGAAGTATATTTTTGGGAAAAAATTCTGTGTTCGACACAATGAAATGTATAACTGTAATCATGATTAAAAAAGTTATATAAATATTTTGTATAAATTAGCAACCCCTTTAAGGGGGTTGACGCTGAACGTAACGACCCACTTTGATAAGAAAACGTAAAGGGACACATAACAATTATTTTTTACTCTACGGGAATGGTCCTGACCAGACTTGGCTCAATATTGCGTTTAAACGACATTCATAGTGTCGCCCAATCAAATACAATCTGCGAATAATCCGCACACCCATCTCACACAGAAGGTACAGAATAACCACCAGGGTGGTAATCTGGTACGCAAGCAAGCATATTATCACCATTTTAACGAATAATAAAACTTTTTTAGAAAACAACCCTGTTACGGGGTTTTAAGGGTTAATACTGCACCACCGGAGTATACTATTGGAAAAAAATTCTGTGTTCGACACAATAAAATGTATAAGTATAAACATGAGAAGTTAGATATTTTGTATAAATTAGCAACCCCTGTATGAGGGTTGACGCAGAACGTACTGACTCACTTAATAATAATAATAATAATAATCGTAATTTATTATCCAACAGACAAAGATCTATGTGGATACTTGTACATAACTCCGGATAAGTATACACAAATACATATAACAAAAAAAGAAAGAAATCAATACAAAACAATTATATAACTAAACACTAATCACTAAAAAATTATATAACTCAACATGCAGGAATGTCAACTACAGTGGCGTAAGAACTGCATTTTTACACAGATAAGTGAAATGTTTGATATTCTGTAAAAAGATGTCAGCAAGAGGAGCAATATTATTGTAACTTCTGCACATATTATATAACGGCGAATAGAAATGTTGATTAGTTCTACACCAATCTATTGCAAATGTTCCAGCATATCTACAATTTAAGCGCGGTATGTGAAAACTAAGATTACCAAGCAGATTTTGTGAAAAAATTTTCCCGTGAATCAGCTGATGTAAAAATATAATATTTGCCACCGTTCTTCTATCCTTCAACGAGTATAGATTAAATTCATTGAAAAGAACTACGCTCGAACAAGTTCTTACGGGATATCTGCCAAATTTAACATAAAATAAATGTTTACAAAATTTTCTTTGAATACGCTCTATTGAAGATATATGAATTTTGTAGTATGGATCCCATACGACGGATGAATATTCCAGTTTAGAACGAATAAATGAATAATATAATACAAGCAAAGAATCAACATTGGTAAAACCGACAGTATTTCTTATAATAAACCCTAACATTCTATTAGCATGATCACAAATATGTTGAAAATGGGGTATAAATGACAATTTTGAATCAACCACAACACCAAGGTCTTTAATTTGGAATATTCTATCTATTTCTGTATCGTTTAATTCATACTTAAATTGTGTAGTATCAGGTGATCTAGAAAAGGTTATTACTTTACATTTGGCTACATTAATATTTTGTTTATTATTGTGACACCATATAATAAAATTATTAAGATCATTTTGAAGCGAGTAACAATCATCAAGCGTGGTAATAGTTTTAGCCACCTTCATGTCATCAGCGTACACAAAGATAGGACACTTAAATTCTAAAAGTGCGTCATTGAAGTATATAATAAATAAAATAGGTCCAAGGTTTGACCCTTGCGTTACACCACTCGTAGTTACATAAGTTTGAGAGCGAAAACCACGGTACTCAACATACTGAATGCGATTACACAAAAAGGATTGAAATAACTTTATTAAATTACTACACAGGCCAAATTTGCTCAACTTATCAAGCAAAATCGAGTGATTAACCACATCGAAAGCTTTAGATAAATCTGTGTAAATAACATCAACTTGTTTTTTACTTTCAAGAGAATCAGATATGTATTGGATGTATTCACACAGATTTGTTGAAGTTGACTTTCCTTTTATAAAGCCATGTTGACTGGGGCTAAGTTGATTAGATACATGACTATATAAATTATTAGCTACAATTCTTTCAAAGATCTTACTAAAATTTGAAACTATTGCAATGGGCCTATAATTCTCGATGTTATTACGTACGCCAGATTTGAAGACCGGGATAACTTTAGTAGACTTCCACTTATTAGGATA